ATCAGGGTCATGCCCGTGAAGAACACGCCAGCCAAGAGTGCGAGCCTGAGGGGAGGCTTCCCAGAAAGGATCGCGTCGTAAAGTACTAGCCTGACGAAAGACCCAGCGATTTGCAGCTGCGAGAACCGCGAGGGAGATGATACGAAGGAGGAGGGCACGCAAACCCCGAATAGCGCACGCTTCTCATAGGCAGCGCACCGAAAGAAGAACTAGGCGCGGGGCAGTGCAGGCAGGGGGGGATGAATGGGTAGGACGCATGCGAACTTTCGGTGGATCTCCCCATTGGCCACGAAGCGTGTGAGGGGTATACCGAACGAAATGGGCGGGGGGGGACTCATGGGAACGTCGCCGCCGGGGCCTTCGGTGGAGCTCCCTCTGGGGCCGCGAACCGTGTGAGGGGTGTGCCAACATGGGTCGGTCGGACGCATGCGAACGTCGCCGCTAGGGCCTTAGGTTGAGCTCCCCATGGGGACACGAATCGTGCGAGGGGTGTGCCCAAAGTGGGTGGCGCAGACGCATGTGGCCGCGCCCGCTGGGGCCTTAGGTGGAACTCCCTACGGGGCCACGAACCGTGCGAGGGGTGCGCCGACATGGGTGGCGCGGGCGCATGGGAACGTCGCCACTGGAGCCTCAGGTGGAGCTCGTTCTGGGGCCACGGACCGTGTGAGAAGTGCCAAAAATTGGTGGCGCGGACGCGTGGGAACGTCGCCGCTGGGGCCTTCGGTGGAGCTCACCATGGGGCCGCGAGCCGTGTGAGGGGTGCGCCGAAATAGGCGGCGCGGGCGCATGGGAACGTCGCCACTGGAGCCTCAGGTGGAGCTCCTTCTGGGGCCACGGACCGTGTGAGGGGTGCGCCGACATAGGTGGCGCGGACGCATGGGAACATCGCCACTGGGGCCTTTGGTGGAGCTTCCCATGGGGCCAAGACACGTGTGAGGGGTGTGCCGAAACAGGCACATGCGGAGGGCAGATGAGGGGCAGGAAGGAGGAGGCGGGAGGGACGCGGGGCGCCGTCTCTGCAAAACAAGGACCCTACACCACAGGATGGTTGGGAATCAGGACGCGCGGTTTTTGGCCGTTCTGGCCCCTGGGAGCCCTCGCCGGGCCACGGGACGGCAAAAAACGGCTCAGGATAAAAAACCGGTCCCGGGGAAAGGGTCGGGATTTCCAGGGACCCCGCATTGAAAGTAGCCTGACGAAAGACCCAACCATTTGCAGCTGCGAGAACCGCGAGGGAGATGATACGAAGGAGGAGGGCACGCAAACCCCGAATAGCGCACGAGGTGCACCCTCTGCTCTCACAGGCAGCGCGCAGAAGGAAGAACGAGGCGCGAGGCAGTGCATGCAGGGGGGTGGGGGGGACGAATGGGTGGGACGCATGCGAACGTTCGGTGGAGTTCCCAATGGGCCACGAAGCGTATGAGGGGCGTGCCGAACGAAATGGGCGAGGCGGGGCGCATGCGAACGTCGCCGCTGGGGCCTTCGGTGGAGCTCCACATGGGGATGCGAGACGTGTGAGGGGTGTGCCGACATGGGTCGGTCGGACGCATGCACGAGTCGCCACCATGGCCTTAGGTGGAGTTCCCTCTAGGGCCACGAACATGTGAAGGGTGCGCCAACATGGATGTGGCAGACGCATGTGGCCGCGCCCGCTGGGGCCTTAGGTGGAGCTCCCTATGAGGCCACGAAACGTGTGAGGGGTGCGCCGACATTGGTGGCGCGGACGCATGGGAACGTCGCCACTGGGGCCTTGGCTGGAGCTCCCTCTGGGGCCGCGAACCGAGCGAGGGGTGTGCCAAAAATGGGTGGCACGGACGCATGGAAACGTCGCCGCTGGGGCCTTAGGTGGAGCTCCCCATGGGGACACGAATCGTGCGAGGGGTGTGCCAAAAATGGGTGGCGCAGACGCATGGGAACGTCGCCGCTGGGGCCTTAGGTGGAGCTCCCTATGGGGCCACGAACCGCGAGAGGGGTGTGCCGACATGGGTGGCACGGACGCATGGGAACGTCGCCGCTGGGGCCTTAGGTGGAGCTCCCTATGGGGCCACGAACCGCGTGAGGGGTGTGCCGAAATGGGTGGCACGGACGCATGGGAACGTCTCCACTGGGGCCTTGGCTGGAGCTCCCAATGGGGCTACGACGTGTGTAAGGGGTGTGCCAAAAATGGGTGGCACGGACGCATGGGAACGTCGCCACTGGGGCCTTGGCTGGAGCTCCCTATGGGACCAGGAACCGTGAGCGGGGTGTGCCGAAACAGGTACAAGCGGAGGGCAGAGGCAAGCGAGGGATGAGGGAGGAGCGGAAGGAGGAGTGAGAACGCCGGGCGCAGTATCTTCAAAACGAGGACCCAACACCACAGAACGGTTGGGAAAAATCAGGACGTTGCATGACTGTCTGGGTTCAGGTCGGAGGGACCAGCCCAGGGAGGCAGGAAGTGATTTAGCCACGCCGACACTGCGCCGACCGTACCCCCGATCTCGAAGCAGCTGGCTCTTGGGCAACGTGAGGGCGCCGCGCATCAGTGAGCCGTGGGCAGACTACTACTCTGGCAGGCCCGTGCTTTGACGACGAGGGCCGTTGAGGATACAGAGCCTCTTCGCCGGAACCCCATGTTCGCTGGTCTCCGCGATCGCCGCTCCCCGTTCGCCAGCGTCCGTGCTCGCCCGTCACCGTTGGCCGGCCCCTGCTCGCCAGGTCCCCGTTCGCCAGCGTCCGTGTTCGCTGGTCCCCGTTCGCTCGGCCCCGTCCTGGCGCCGCTGGGCCCCCGCGCCAGAGCTCCGACGTCTCAGTGGTGGTCCGCGTTCGGGCTCCCAGGCCACTCGGCTCCTTCCCTGAGGCAGGCCTCTCGGCCCGAACCGTGTCTCACTGGCCCCGACGGGCCCCAAAAGGGCCCCCGCGGACGCCGGAAACGAGCGAGAAGGCCGCCGAAGGCCGCGAAAGATGCCCGAAGGCCGCCAAGGGCCGCAAGATGCCTCCAAAGGCCGCCGTCTGCGTTTGCCGTCCGCCCGTCTGGAGACTGAGCCCCTGGACCTGTCGAGGGCGGCGCTCCGGCCAAGACTTCGAGGAGAACCCAGCTGTGGTCATGAGGGCACCCCGGAAGGCCCGCAAGCTTCTCTTTTTTGGGGGGTGGAGGGGAGAAAGATGGGCGCGGACACCGGCCGATTCGCTGCTCCTCAAGGGGGCCATCCGCTTGCTCAGCGCGAGTGCTGTGCCGGGCCTGCCGATGAGGAGGGCACCCTACGAGGCCCGAGAGCGCGCTCAAAGGCTTGGCTCCTCGGCCCCGGCCCCCCCTCCAACAGAAAAGAATTCGCCTGGTGAAGGACCCAACCAGAGGTGCTATTTCGGAGACCCTGAACCCAAAAACGTTTCCATCTCTTCGGGGCGCATTTTTTACTTCCGCCGCCTTCCGCCGAGCTTCCGCCGGTGGAGGCGGTCTCGTTTCACTTACGCCGCCCGTCCGCCGCCTTCCGCCACGAAGAGATGACAGCTCCTGCAATCCTCGAAGGCAAGGTCCTTTTTGGAACGCCCCAAATGGGCCATGGGGCCACGGAGCGTGGGAGGGGGGTGCCGAAAGGGGCGCGGCGGACGCATGCGAGCGCAGCCACGGGGGCCTTCGGTGGAGCTCCCTAAGGGGCCACGAAGCGTTGCACCGCCGAGGGCCGCAGAGGGCCGCTCAAGGCAGCAGCCGAAGGCCGCCGAAGGCAGCAGCCGAAGGCCGCCGCAGGCCGCCGCAGGCCACCGCAGGCCGCCGCCTTGGCTTCCCTTTGCAGCGCACTGCGTCAGAGTCGCATGAGATCCGACGTCGCAAAGAGAAAGGCAGCATCTCGGAAGGTCATGGCCGGAGAGCCCCAGCCCCTGTCTTTGTGCGGCATATCTCGAGCGGGAGCCAGATGTGGGAGGCCTGGGGGCCCAAAGCTCGATGAAAACGCCCGACGCGACAAAAAATGCGACGCCTGGATCTCAATGTTATAAGCCTGGAGACCAGATGTAGTGACCTGTTCAATCTGGGATCTCCTGAAGCCCCGACCTATTTCCCAAGACAAGCTTTTCGTAGCCGCCTCTTGACAGCACCAGGGCCGCCCCCAGAGGACGAAGCGAGCAAAAGGCCGCCGCCTTGACTTTTCCAAGACGCTGGCTCAAAGCTCGGGGGGCGAGGACCAGGGGACGCGTTGAGAGAAGAGGTAGGAGACCACGTGCGCACCCTACCCCTACCCCCACGATTTCTGAGGGGGAGGGTGGGGTTCACTTCGCCTCAGAAATCGTAGGGGGTAACGGCAGGGTTCGCATGTGGTCTCCTAAAAGGGGGCCACCACGTCCGGGAGATCCCATGGCCCCAGCCACAGCCACGATGTCCACACCCACACCCCTCTCGGACGCACAGACAGCAAAAAATACGCAGAAGGCAACTATACACCACCACCGTGCCAAGGCAGGGCCATCCTGGGCCCCAGGATGGTGCATACGCCCTCCTCACCGAGGCCAGGAGGGTCTATACGCCATCCTGGGGCCCAGGATGGCCCTGCCTTGGCACGGTGGCGGTGTATACAGAAAAAGAAAGAACCACATGAACATAAATTGTTTGCACCCCGCGCGGATTTCTTGGATTCGCGCCAGGGGCGGCGCCGGAGGCGCCGCCGGGGGACCTAGGCGCGGATCCAAGAAATCCGCGCGGAGCGTCGAAAGTTTATGTTCACGTGCTTATGTATTATCATTATTCTTCTTCTTCGAGTATAGCTGCCTTGTTTTTTCAACAAAAAACTTCATCTCGGCCGCATCTGAGGCGGGTGGCCCTCTGTCTTGCTTGCGCGCTGCTGGCCGGATCCTGTGCCCAGGAGGGGCCACCAGCCGGAGCAGCAGGCACCCTCTGCAGAGCACAGGGCCTCCCTGACACCCGCCAGGGCCTGACTGCTTCAGTCCGCGGCCCCAGGGAGGTCCTGGCCTGAGGGGCAACGATAGGGGGGGATAGGCATAGGGGGGGATGAATCGACCTGGAATCGGCGATACATCGTCGATGGATCGGCGATAGGCCTCCGATAGTGAATCCGCACCTTCCTGGGCAGGTTGGGACTATCGGGCCCCTATCGGCGATCAATGGGCGATTGGGGGTCGATGCATCCCCCCTATGCCTATCCCCCTCTATCGTTGCCCCTGAAAACCGCTTCCCCGGGGGGGGGGTTCTTCGTCCCGAACGCGGGGCCCGAAAGCAGCCCTCGACGGCCGAAGCCTGCAGAAAACAACCACACAGCAACAGAAAGAACGTTTGAACAATCAGGCCGACGAAGATCTGGGCTCGCCGGCTACAGGATTGCACGGGGCACGTCTTCCAAGACGGAAGGGCGTCTCCGCCGCCGAGGTCCTCCGACGGAGCCCTCGAGAGGCCGCCGGGGGGCCGCAGAAGGCCGCCGGAGTCTTCCGAAAGCCGCCGAGGGCCCCCGAAGGCCGCCGAAGGCCGCCGCCGAGCGTCTCCAGGAGATCCGACGTCACGTCCACGAGATCCATAAGATCCGTGGTAGCCTAGGTCAACCCGTCTGGAGCCACGGGCCTCATCTCCCGGCGGCATGCTTCCAGGTGGATCGACGCGTGACGGTCTGGGGGCCCGGGACGAAGCAGAATCACCCGTTGTGAGAAATGCGCCGCCAGGATCTAAGGGGACTGCATGGGACACACCTCCTCGACGTCGGACCCGCCGTATTTTGGGCGATGTCGCCCGCCCTACTTGTCTCAAGCTCCTTTGATGCCGATTTCCGCCCTACTTTGCCGTCGCTGCTTCCGCTACACGTTTGCGGAAATATCCGCCCAACTTCATATTCTGAAGCGGAAATTTCCGCCCTGCCTTTTCGCATCGTTCGGAGTGAATGTATTATACAACCTCACAGCGGGAAAGCAATCAAAGCACTGAGGAGAAAGTCAGGGAGGAAGGGGAGGGGGAAAGGGTGGAGGAGGAGGAGGAAGGAGGAGACTGAGGAGAAGAAGGAGGAAGAAGAAGAAGAAGAAGAGCACGAGGAAGAGTAGGGGAGACGACCGAAGAGATGGAGGAGTAGAAGGAGGAGGAGGAGGAGGAGGAGGAGGAGGAGAAAGAAGAAAAAAGGGAGGAGGAATGCCGTTTGTGCGCGCGTCTCGGTGGGGCCGGCCTCAGCGCCTCAGCGCGCCGCCGCGCCATCGGAGACGGGCGGCGCGAGTACCACGTGAAGGTGATCAACCGCGGCTACGGCATCATCCACCAGCTGGAGAACAACTACCACCAGCTGTTGAATCACAAGGCGGACATCTTCAACATCAACGAAAAATTACGAGACCTGCCCGCCTCGGTGGAGACTCATCGGCAAGTATGCCGAGACCATACACGCACAGAGGAGGAGGGGCGCGAGCAAATGCTACCAGAACAGATGTGGCTCTCAAGGGAACGGGCTACCTCGTCCGACACAGGCTGGAACCACACCTCAACGACATCATGACCATCGCTACGACCGCCTTCATGATGGCGCCCCTACAGGACGGGACGAGCCGCATTGCATGTGTGACGAGCTGCGTAACATGCAGCCCGAGGACAAACTGCGTAACAGGCAGCCCAAGTACAAGAACCACTACCAGTACGACACCAAGCACGCCGCCAAGATCGACGGCAAGTACGACAGCAAGAGCGGCGGCTTGAACCTAATCGCGGCCATCTTCAAGCCCAGGCAGACCACGGGCGTCCCCCCAGGCGAAAAAGGACAATACTGGGGCGACCTGGTGCTTCCTTTCTGAAAAACCGGAGCCAGCGTGACCATCTACAGCAGCCCCGGGAGCAGATATGTACGACTACCAGTGCTTCGACGACCACCAAGACTACAATTCCACCAGGATTGCCAGGATTACGACTCCCGGTACAACTACGCCGCCGGGGACCACTGGCGCAAGTCCAGGAAGGCGCAGGCCGCGCGCATGGCCACGAGTGCCACCAGCTGAGCCGTCGGGGTCTCGACAGCCCCCGACGCGGCCACGAGGGCCACCCGCTGAACTGCGGGGGCAGCAAGCCGAGCTACGAGGGCCGCGACCAGGACTCCGAGAGCCACCAGCTGAGCTCAGGGGACCACACGCGGAGCCACGAGGGCCGCGCGCAGGGCTACGACACCTACCGGTTGAGCTGACCAGGGCCACCTGCCGAGCTACGAGAGCCACTAGCTCAGCTAGGAGGACCACACGCTGAGCTACGCAGGCCACAGGCAGAGCTGCGGGAGCCGCCAGAGGGGCTGAGGAGGGCCACCAGCCGAGCTTCCAGAGCCGCCGGCAGGGCTGCGAGGGCCACAGGCTGAGCTCCGAGGTCCGCAAGGCGACCTGCGAGGGCCACGGGCTGGGCTGCGAGGACCGCCAGCTGGTCTGCGAGGGCCACCAGCAGGGCTACGAAGGCCACAGGCCGAATGACCGCAGGGCTACGCGAGCAGAGCAGCAAGGGCCTCCAGCCGAGCTGCCATCGCCAAACTGCACGGTCCACGAGCTGACCACCCCGAGAGCCCACGACACAGCTGCGAGTACCACCAGCCGAACCGCGGGGGCGACACGTCGAGCTGGGAGAGCCGCGAGCAGGACTCCGAAAGCCACCGGCCGAGCTACGAGGGCCACGAGAGGACGAGGAGAGCGACGAGCAGGGCGAGCCCACCTGCATCATGTACGCCGCGCTGGAGGGGCTGGACTTCCTCAGGACCATGATCGCCGAGGGGGAGGCTATCACAGAGGCCTTCGCCATCAGAGCCATATCCAAACTCACGAACTCCGCGAAAAACTAGCCCAACGACATGATGGTTCCCGTAGACATGAGCGCTAGCCGCCACCACGAGGACGGGGACGCGATGGTCCGCGCGCTGGGCCTCTCTGGAGCCATCAAGGCGCTCTTGTCTGGCCGCGACAATTACGAGGCGCACAAGAACTGGATACCTATGGGCCAGCGAACCATGCCTGTCTCCGCCGCAGAACTGCGACGACGACGGGAGGACAATGAGAGCGACGTGGAGCACGAAGAAAGTAGCAAGGAGGGCAACACCTAATGCAAACGAAGACAGGTGGAATACTGGGCACTACAATCTGGAAAGCGACGACTCTGGGAAGGCATGCGCCGCGACGGCCTCCGACACGGCCTGCAACAAGGTTGAAGCCAGAGAAAATCCGCCGGCCCCCTTGTGGGGCCACCAGGCTGTAGGCGCGGGTTCGCAGTTTCCTGTACCAGTCGTAGCTTGTAGTTTCCAGTGTTACAGTTCTGCTTCTTGCTGGTCACTGTAACTAGTTGATTGACCGCGCGAGGGGGGGGGAGGCCCAAACAAGATTTTTAGCGTCTCCTGGGCGCGTTGTCTGAATTGCTGGGGGGGCTCGAAATCGACACCCCTCACGCAGATCCGCGGGGTCAGGGTCCAAAAACACAAGGGATTTGCCACATTTCTGAAATTCGGTGCCACCCCTCACGCAGATCCGCGGGGTCAGGGTCCAAAAACACAAGGGATTTGCCACATTTCTGAAATTCGGTGCCACCCCTCACGCAGATCCGCGGGGTCAGGGTCCAAAAACACAGGGATTTGCCACATTTCTGAAATTCGGTGCCACCCCTCACGCAGATCCGCGGGGTCAGGGTCCAAAAACACAAGGGATTTGCCACATTTCTGAAATTCGGTGCCACCCCTCACGCAGATCCGCGGGGTCAGGGTCCAAAAACACAGGGGATTTGCCACATTTCTGAAATTCGGTGCCACCCCTCACGCAGATCCGCGGGGTCAGGGTCCAAAAACACAAGGGATTTGCCACATTTCTGAAATTCGGTGCCACCCCTCACGCAGATCCGCGGGGTCAGGGTCCAAAAACACAGGGATTTGCCACATTTCTGAAATTCGGTGCCACCCCTCACGCAGATCCGCGGGGTCAGGGTCCAAAAACACATGGGATTTGCCACATTTCTGAAATTCGGTGCCACCCCTCACGCAGATCCGCGGGGTCAGGGTCCAAAAACACAGGGGATTTGCCACATTTCTGAAATTCGGTGCCACCCCTCACGCAGATCCGCGGGGTCAGGGTCCAAAAACACAGGGGATTTGCCACATTTCTGAAATTCGGTGCCACCCTTCACGCACATCCATCGCAAGGCGTGGTAACCCAAACTGCGAGAACTCCCTCGGCCCTTTAATCGCAAGGTGTGGTAACCAAGCCCGTAAACCATACACGTCTTACCAATCGCCAGGTGTGGTAACCCCTCTTGTGATCAGTTGGTTTTGCTGATTGCGAATCGGCTTCGCATGAAGTTTCGATACTGCTTCACGACAGCGCCAAGGCCTCATGACTTAGCTCTTCCATGGCCCATTCTCCGAGAGAGGGGGCCGGCGGCAGGGGGCGAAGCCCTTACGGATTATGACTACTACAGCGCTACGGACAAAAGTGAACAAAATAGATCTGACACACAAGATACTTCGTTTACCCACTTAGCGCTGTAGGCATCATCAGCACCATCATGTACAACATTACAGACGAGGTACTCCGTGTACTACGCTACTGGCAAGGTGCTACGTTTACGGGTTGTACCTCTCCTAAGGTTGAGTGGCCCCGCCTCACTACCCACCTCCCCTCCCCCTCCGAGGCCTCAGGTGGTATTCTTGAGTGTGGGCGGCCTTCCCCTTCTCCCTTCCCCCCTCCAGAAAGGGCCGTCTCCGTGTAGCCGTCGCGGCCCAGGGCGCGTGGCGGGAGCGGAGGCGCTTGGGTGACGCGTCAGCGATTGCCAGAGAGAGGCAGAGAGGAGGAGGAGGAGGAGGAGGAGGAGGAGGAGGAGGAGGAGGAGGAGGAGGAGGAGGAGGAGGAGGTAATTCGGCGGAAAAAGAGGAGGAGGAGGAGGAGGAGGAGGAGGGAGAAGGAGGAGGAGGAGGAGGAGGAGGAGGAGCAAGAGAGAGGGAGGCCGTTGGACACACCTGCCCCCACCCCCCCCGAGCGCCTCCATGCCGAGGGCGGGGCCGCGGCGCCCACGGGCGCCTCCGACGCCATCGGGCACCTGCCCCCCGGACAAGCTTGCTCAAGCGAAAAAGGCTCAGACCGACCTCCAAAGAACCACGCTGCGAAAAAAGCACGACAGCGGAGGTCTGGGCCTAGAGCACGCACCACGAGGCCCAAGTGGCTTTATAAGGGCTGCAAGATGGAGCGAAAAGCTGGGGACACCCTGGGCCAGGAACACATTCCACAAAACTCAGGCACCACGATCTTTTCGCGGCGTGGCCCCCCAGATTGGGGATCCCAAAACCGTGTGGTGACAGACCGTGCAGTGACCCCGGCACCCCAAGAGAGACCTCACTGCACGGTCCTTCACCGCACGGTCTTGGGACCCTGGAGGCCCCAGTCGCCCGAGACATCCTTGGAGAAGGACCCAGTCCCAAAACCGTGCGGTGACCCCGAACCCCCACCGACTCACCACTCGGTGTGGTCACCACCCCGTTTGGGGGCCCCCGACCAGAGCCTGGGCCCCATCATGCCGGAGACCAGCTTCCCATCCCAGGCTGTTTTCGACGCCCCCGAAGCCCTGTGAGGGCCATGGAGGCCAGATGTGGCCAGAGACGCGCCCTCGTGCTCACCGCGCGAGGAGGCGAGGGTCAGCAGCCCCCCACGGGAGGCCCAGGGGAGCAGCCCCCGAGCGGAGGTCGGGGCGCGGAGACCCCCAGGCCTCCTGGACGTCTTGGGAGAACCGGCGCGGCAACCGCTGGCCGATCTTGGCCCCAGAGGGGCACCCGCCAAACCTCGGGATGCAGAGCTGGCCCCGAGGGCAGGGCCCAGGCCCGCGGGGGGAGGCACGCGGTGAAGAGGCGCGACGTCGAAGGCCGAGTGGGGAGGCGATGGGACTGGCAGGGCACCAGGCGGAGCCCCGGCAGGCTCAAGCGGGGCGGGGCGGGGCGGGGCGAGGGAGTCTTATTCAGCACAACGCGCTCAGGAGGAGGCAAAGAGGAGGAGGAGGAGGAGGAGGAGGAGGAGGAGGAGGAGGAGGAGGAGGAGGAGGAGGAGGAGAGGAGGAGGAGGAGGAGGAGGAGGAGGAGGAGAAGGGGGGGCCCGAACCCGCCGAAGAGGTCCAAACAAACCTCTCCCCCCTGCCCTGCGCCCCCCCCGCAAGGAGTGTAGTGAGGGGACGCCACGGAGGCGGGGCGAGGGAGGCAGGGGGGGGATGAGGGTAGGGGGTCCCAGAACGGTTCGGTCACGGAGCGTGCCGTGACCTCAGAGATCCCGAGAGACATCACCGCACGGTCCGTCATGCATAGTTGCCACATATTGCATTGTGGTACATTATTATGTCTCCCCCCCTACCCCCCCCTGGGAGCTGCGCCACAGGAACGGACCAAAGTGCCCCCCCCTCTCCCGGGGCTCAAAAATCTACCAAAACATATAGAAAATCTATGATTTCGACTTCTTGGGCCTCTTGGGGGGCCAAGAGGGCGCCAAGACGGCTCAAGATGGGTTCTGTGCGGGCCAAGACGGCCCCGAGACGGTCCAAGACGGCCCCAAGAGGGCCCAAAAAGCCCCAATGACGGCCCAAGAGGGCCCCAAGAGCGCCCACAACTGCGCCTCCAGAAGCCAAAATCATTGATTTCCCTGTGGTAATATTTTAGCGTTTTCGCCTTTGCGGCCGAAGCAGCTTCCCAAATCCCTCCAGAACATCACAAGAAGCCACCAAGAGGGCCCCAATACGGCCCAACAGAACCCCAAGACGGCCCAAAGAGGCCCCCAAAACGGTCCAAGAGGCCCCTTATGACGGCCCAAGAGGACCCCAAGACGGCCCCATGGCGGCCGCGAGAGGCCCCCCAAGACGGCCTCCGAAGGGGCGTAACGGCGCAAAAACGCCCCAATACTGCCAAAAACGCCCCCAAGAGGCCCCAAGAGGCCCCCAAGAGGCCCCCAAGGGGCCCCAAAAAAACCCACGAGGCCTCCAAGATGTCCTCAAGAAGCCCCCCAAAGGCTCCAAAGAAGCCCCCCAAAGGCCACACAACGACTGGAGTGCAATGTAATTGTTCCAACCTGGGCGAACTGCGGCGCAGCGCCAGCCAGGTGGAAGTTGGTCACTGCGGCGCCCATGATTAGAGCCGGCGCTGGAAGGAAATATGGGGAGGGAATATGAAAAGGAGGGAGGGGGGAGAGGCCCCAAAGAAGTCCCCAAGAGGCCCAAGGAAGCTCCCAGGAGGCCTCCAGGAGGCCCCCAAGAGGCTCCCAAGAGGCTCCGCGACGACGTGACTGTACGTGCTCCGGACGTGCACCCCGCGAAGCGAGAGGAATCCCGAGAGACATCACCGCACGGTCCGTCACCGCACGGATCTGAGCCGCGGCGGCCCCAACCGCCCGAGACGGCCTCGGGGAACGACCCGAGTCCCAAAACCGCGCTGCCACCTCGAAGCCTCCACGGAGGCGCACCTCGCGGCGAGGGCACCGCACCGCCACTGGGAGGGTCCGACGAGGGCAGGGGGGGGGGGTCGCAGGGGGCAACCTCGGAGAGGATCGGAGGCCTCCGGGGCGGCCCCCGGAGGCCAACGGGGGAGTCCCCCAGACGGAGGGGCCCCAGGCACCTGGCATCGTGGTGCGTTCGCCGCCTGGCTGTCGGGGGAGCCCAAGCGGGGGGCTTTTTGACAATACTTAGCTCGTTGCAAGTTAGCTTGAGCGCAGCGGCCAAAAGGACTGGCACAGGCTGCACACGAGAAGCCCGAGAGCATGGACGCTGAGCTGCTTCCGCTCTCGTCCCGAAAACTGTCAGGAGAGAGGTATTGGCGCTGAGGGAGGGGAGGAGAGGAATCATAACGAAGGAGGAGGAGATTGCAGCGCCGCGCGAAGAGAGACATCAGCGGCACCCTGCTTCGTTGCCCATAGAAGGGCAGCCCTCGATGCAGAGAGCAGTGCGAGGCAGGAAAAAGAAGAGACCTGCCTGGGAGTGCCTTCCGAATTTCGGACTGCTATTAAGAGGGAAGAGCTGGACGGAGGGCCAAAATGGCCAGGCCGCATTGCGGCTGTCCAAACCTCCAGGGGAGGAGATCTGGACTGAAGGAGGAGCTAGGGAAGTCAAAAGAGGCGGGAGAGGAAGAAGGGCCGGAATGGCATGGCCGTGTTGCAGGGCGTACGCTGCAGCTGAGAGGCCTGTACGGGCCGACCGCGGCGGGGAGGTGGGTGTGCCTGGGCGCTAGCCGAGACCAGACAGCAGAGACCCACCTCCCGTGGCCCCTCACAGGCACACAGGGACCAAGGGGACCCTGCTACACCTGGACGAGGGCCAGAGAGACAAGCCAAGGCCAGTGCCGCGTTCTTGCCTCAGCCGCGCAGCCAAGACGCACTGGGGCATGGTGCCTGTCTGCATATATGGCACCTTCGCTGGCCGCCTTGGCCGAGAGTTACTCGGCGGGGCTGTGCTGTAGCATCGTTAGGTAATGAGCTGCCAAGGTGAACCAAGAGTATTAGGCCAGCTCGCCACCTAGGAGACTCAGCCGTGGCGAGTCTGCGAATTGCTGTGTGAGCAAGCCGATCGCTGTATAGCGAGGCTGCTAAGAAGTGCCGCGTTGGCCCCACTCATGCGGCAAGGTGGAAGGTCGAGCCCCTGATTGGCAACGACTCTTGCACAGGCCCTCCAAGGGGGGCCGGTAAAAAGCAGAGTGACTAGGTGGGCTGCCGAGGTATGTATTAGGCTGGCCCCGCCCCTGTGTGGCGCATTGACGGTTGCATCATGGGCGCCCATCCCATATTACCTGAGATGGTGCCGGCTGGATGCCGCACAGTTAAAGGCCTTACGGGCGCTGAAAGAGTTTCAGCTGCAGCTGAAAGGCCTGTGCGGGCCGTCCGCGACGGGGAGGTGGGTTTGCCTGGGCGCTAGCCGAGACCAGACAACAGAGACCCACCTCCGCGTGGCCCCTCACAGGCACACAGGGACCAAGGGGACCCTGCTACACCTGGACGGGGGTCAAAGAGATGCGTCGGGGCAGAGGCCACGTTCCTCTCATGAGGCACTTGTGGCTAGGACTGTCTAGGTAATGAGCTGCCAGGGCGAACCACGAGTATTAGGCCAGCCCATCCCCTAGAGACTCCGCCGCGACGAGTCTGCGAATTGCTGTGTGAGCCTAGCCGATCGCTGTTTAGCGAGGCTGTTAAAATGTGCTGCGCTGGCTGCACTAGTGCAGCAAAGTGAGAAGTCGCGCTCATGAGTGGCGACTACTCCTGGATAGGGCCCTCTAAACGAGGGGCCGGTGGAGAAAAGAGCGCTAGGTGGGCTGCCGAGGTACGTATTAGGCGGCTCCGCCCCTGTGTGGCACATTTACGGCAGCGCCATGGGCACCCATCCCATATTGGCCTGAGATGGTGTCGACTGATGCCGCAAGAGCTGCAGTGAGAGTGAGCACCTGAAGGCCTCACCGCAGCGGAATGTATGCCGGCTTGGCCGGCCTTAAATTGGAGACGCGGTGTCTCCTTTATAAGAGTTTGGCTAGCAAAGAAGGCTTGGGCTGAATAGGTGGTGGGCTGCAGGCAAACCAGAATCTGAGCATTGTGCTAACCCACCACCTATGCGTGAGGACTCAGCCGTGGCGAGTCTGCGAATTGATATGTGTGAGCGGCGCTCAGCCGCCTCGCTGTTAGCGGGGCTGCCCAAGGTTGCAGAGCCGCACAATGACGGGAAGGGCTGGATGCTGCTAGACTCGCGTGGCATACAACTCAGCTATGCAGGACGGCTCGACCGACCTTGAGTTGGAGCGGCATGGCTCCAGCTGTTTAGGTGGTGGGCTGCCGAGGTGGAGAGAAGGCGCTGAAAGGATGTGGAAAGTAAAGTATTAGGCGAGCCCACCACCTAAGTATGCACGCTGCTAGTGGCGCCGAGGTCGCTTAGGTCGACCTAGAAGGGCGCTGACTGATGCGTCATTAGCGTGGCTCGCTCAGGTACTGAAGGGCGACGGGTTGAGAGTGCGGGCGGCAGCAGAGAGCGCCGAGAGACCTGCCGCTGTCGCCGCCGCACGCGCCTGGGCCTCTTGCGCGGCAGCCTGCTGCTGG